GGCTATGGCTCTGCTGAATCCATTGATATTGAGACCTCGGTGATGAGTGTCTGTGTTTTCATTATATTTTTCTGTGTTTTTTCTATTTTCTAACTTTTTAATAAGTTAAAGAAACTTCATCTAATTTAAAAATGTATTCTGTTTTTGCATTTTCATTCAAACCAGCTCACGCCAAGGACACTCTAAAAAAGAAATAAATCACACATGGCTGAAATAGAAATGAAACGAGCCTGGTTTGATATTACCCATACTGTTGGCCACAATCCATTATTCNATTAAAAACGTCTTTCAGCAGTCTGGGAAGAATACTGTCTAAGGGGTATTGTGAAGGTTTCAATTTTCAGATCAGATCAGATCAAACTGCTCGAAGACAGCTGAGCACACAGGAGACCTTTTAGCCAAGCCCTTGCATTGTGCTCAATTTGGACACTTTTCTTAGTACACTGTATGTGAAACACTTGCGTAGTGTGTGATGTTTGACTGTTCAGTGTTGTCTGAAACCGCACACAACTGCTGTTCCCTTACAGGAAGTGACAATTGACGCTGTAAGCTNGGTTTCAATTTTTTAACCACATCAGATAACTCGGACAGTGAAACCAGGTCAAACTGCTCGAAGACAGCTGAGCACACAGGAGACTTTTTAGCCAAGCCCTTGCATTGTGCTCAATTTGGACACTTTCCTTAGTACACTGTATGTGAAACACTTGCGTAGTGTGTGATGTTTGACCGTTAAGTGTTGTCTGAAACCACACACAACTGCTGTTCCCTTACAGGAAGTGACAATTGACGCTGTAAGCTAGCTAGCTATAATCATTTGTAGTCCAAAATCACAGGCTCCTCAATTGACTCTATATAAATGTACGGTGGCTTCGTTGCAACTCCAGTGCAGTGATATATTACTTAAAATATAGAAAAAACCCCACATGTATAAGTTTAATTTGTCCTGCGTTCAATGCCACAACATCCGTTAATATGTCGTTGAGGAAAATAAGTGTTCACTGTTTAAAACTCAACTTTTTGACAGTTATAAGAGCAACATCCTGGTACTTAGTGCATTTTAACATGCTTTGCATTGGGACACACTTGTCTTTATGCAATCTAAACAGCATGCAAGTACAGTATACACTATTTTAGAAACGCAATAGAAGCAGCTGTCATGATTCCTGAGGCATGACTGCAACACTATGGCTTCATTGGCAGTTCAGGAATAGCTACAATGCATCAAAACATGGGTATCACATGTTTGAGAATCTTTTGAGGCCAAATGGTGCTAAGTCCTCATCTGGGAAAAGCAGCTGAAAGAGGATCATGTAGAGGGAGGAGGAACATGTGGGTAAGCAATCCACCAACAGAGAGTTTTTCTGTTACGTATATGCTCGAATGTGTCCTAGGCGTATCCTCTTAGGAGAGGAGACTTCTGGGAATAACTTGGGTAGGATGAGACGAAGAAAGTAAGCACAGACAGTCGGGGATAAAAATGGACAGCAACCAATTGTGTATGTCTTGTTTTCGAGACTCTTTTGTGTGTTAGAAAAGCAGCGGAGAAGAACACTCCGACGGGAGATTGAAAGGAAGAGAAATGCAGGTAAATGGATTTAAGAATAGTTTGAAAAGGTAGGTAGAGACCCAAAGTTAAGAATGTGTCTGTGAGAATATTTGCATGGGAGTATTTTAGCGGTACATTAATCATATATGAAACACTTCCACAATTATTCAGAGCCTCGGTGTAATTCTAATTATCCATTCGGGGATGGCGACGACTCACTAGTTCGCCGCAGGGCTGAAAGCAAGGATGAATCAAAAAGGGGGAAGAGTTGGAGGGAAAATGACTCGGTGTGTTCACAATAAATACATGAAAGTGTGGAGGAAGTGAAGGCTTAAGTTTTAACCTATTAACGCAGCAGGTTGTTCGTGCTGTAAGCCTCTTAGGAGGACCTTCCCAAACCGAGAGGCGGTGAGAATGTCAATTTAGGCACTTTCTCTGCTGGTAATTACGCTCTATCTCTGGGCTAATGGCTTATTCTGCATGCGGACGGACAAGGAAGAGATATTAAAAAGGAAAAAAAGATATTCAGAGGACGGTCAGAGGAGAGAAAGGATTCTGTCTAATTGGTCGACAATGTGAAAGTGTAGGGTGTGACTAGATAAGCTACTGACAGAATTCTCTATATTAATCGTCAGGACGACAGCCTTTGCAGCCTTTCAACTGCTTTATTGGACGAAATGAAAGCACGAAACAGACCATAAAGGAGTCGACTGAAGCAGCTGGGTCTCTTGAAATCTGGATTGCAGACAGCTGGTACTGCGATGCAATGTTTTTAGTCTTCATGGACATTCTTTGATGCCTTCACTTGTCGTAAAGAAGTCTGAGTGTCCACTCTAATTGTGTCTGAATGTGGACGATTAAGTCAAATAAAAGACCATCGTCATCCCAGTGATGAGATCCTTAGAAAGGTGAAAACTGTCTATTTAAGGGAACTTAGAAGCAAAATGTCTCTATCCAAGAGAACCTAGAACAAAAATGTCTCTTTTTAAGGGAACTTAATAGAAAATGGTCTCTATTTAAGGGAACTTATAAAAAACATTTCTTTATTTAAGGGAACTTATAAGCACAACGTCTCTATTAAAGGGAACTTATAAAAAAACATTTATTTATTTAAGGGAATTTATTAGAATATTTACTCTATTTAAGGGAACTTAAAATAAAATTGTCTCTATTTAAGGCAGGGGTGGGGAACCTCCGGCCTCCGGGCCGTATACGGCCCGCGAGACCATTTGGTACGGCCCTCGAGGTAATTTATAAACACACGCAAAAAAGAAAAAAATTCAAGAAATCTAGACCGCAAAATAATTAAACAAGCTTGTTTTTCTTGGCCAAGTTCAGGGTCCTTGAACACAACACGAGCCTAACGTGTCATCACGTGGTATATGTCTCGTCTGACAGGGGTGTAGTTCTAACGGAGAGCACCAGAACGCGGCTCTGGGCCGGGACTTCACAAATTGCAGTACCCATAAGGAGCTGTACACATGCCGCAGTTTTTGCGTGGCTGTGTCTTTTAGTTGAAAGCCCAGTGGCGATCTGTTCTTCTGTCATACTGATCATACAGTCAATAACGTTGTTGTTATTAGCATCTGGTTAGCTAGCTATGCTAACGAATATAAGAAGCTTTTTCTCCAACCAGTGAGGTAAAGGCACATCTTTATATGATCATTATAGTTATAGAAAAATAAGAGAATAAAGTAAACAGGTATACAATACTAATATGACATTAAAAAAAAGTTGTTATTAATAAACAAGAATACAGTTTAAAAGGGGAGTGATTTGTAAAATATCCATATAGAAAAAAAAAATCTGCTTACAGTTCTGTTTCATCTGGGTGTTGAGAGATGTATCCATAGATCTCTTCATGTTGCTCTCAAAGTGCACCAGATTGATGCTTTTAACTTCAGCATTTAAAAAAAATCCCCCCCCCACTTAGATCATATCCACATGGATATGAAACTAAATACATTTGCACACATCTTGTGTCCATATCTTTCTGTGCATAAATGCACGGGTAATGGTCAAATATCTTGATTAGATTAAAGACGTTGCCTTTTTCTTTGCACAGCAGGGAAGAAAGCGAAAGAATGGCTGTGATGGTTGTGAGGAGAGCGAGACGAGGGCGAGAGGAAGGGTGACGCGCCGTAAGGATGTTGTAAGAAGGAAAGGCCGCTGAGGAAAAACGCCACCGGCGGGAGTGAGAAGTAAGAGCAGGGTGAGGATGCGAGCGAGAAGGGCGCAGCTGGGCAGAGCGCGGTGTGCGCCTAGGCGGGCGCTTTAGAGTATAAGCACATTGCTAATATTGAAGGTTCATTGCATAGCTGGTTACGTGTGCGGCCACTGGTTAATTGTGTTGTCAGGACTTTAATGAATTAGATTTCATTCCTTGTTGCATCTCTCCCCCTCCACTTTGTCAAGAGCTGCGATTAGATATCTTTAAGACTTTAGAAATGCACTCCCTAATTAAGTGAGGTTATGAGAGCTAAATGGTATTCAAAGGTATTTAGCGTTAGTTTTGACACGGAAAACATCAGTCATCAATGTACACTATTTTAAAGGGAGCTCATGATTCAATCTGGGGGTGGATGACGCCCTTTCGTTTTAGTTTTTCTTTGGTGGCGTATGCCAATTTG